TGCTTTCATTACCGCCTTGGAGGTAATTTTTCTTAAAGGAATAGCTTCTGGATAACGGGTTGCCATACACATCACCGTAAGCAGAAACTGATTCCCAGCCTTAGTTTTAGGCAGTGGCCCAACGCAGTCCACAACCACATGTTCAAAGGGCTCACCAAGAAAATGGCGCAACACACGGTTGTAAGTCTTAGTCACACCCAAATGCCCCGCCATTACATGGTCATGAGCAAGTGATAGTACATGTGAACGATATTCAACAGGCACTACTATCTGGCAAACGGTGAAGCATTCGTCATCGGCCACTCGAGGTTTCCATTTTCGCATCAACAAACCATCTGCGATAAAGTAGACTGCATCTCCTTTCGCATTAGACACTGCATCAAAGCACTTCGTCAGAGTCACATCATTTTGTTGAGCCTTAACCAAACACTCTCGATTAACAGGCTGGTGTGACATAAGGGAAGGAACTTCACTGACCTGTTCCTGTCCGGACTCCTGACACATGTGCGCGTCAGCACCAACGGTTTCATCTCTGGGTCTGACAAAATTATCTACCCCCATAAAAGTGTCATCTAGTGTAAATTCCGTCCCCATCTTCTTCGTCTGAGCACGAGTAAACACACAAGCTGGGAAGGCTTCAGGAAACTTCTGAGTCAACTCATCTGAAACAGAGGTAACCACAGGTTTATCCAGCACTTCTAAAACTGGCAACACACGCCCACCAGCCAAGTCATTGCCAAGAATAAACTCAATACCAGGGACTGGTAATGTAGGTCGCACACCCACATCCACAAAGCCAGCAACAAGCTCAGTTTGCAAATACACACGATGCAACGGGACTTTTACCACTTCCATACTGATACCTTGCACTAAGATACTAGAATCCAGACACGACTTCTCTGAAAAAGGTAATACGTCACCACGTATGAACGAGCGAGCAGCACCAGTGTCCCTCAGCACTCGCACTGCAACTCTGTCCTCAGGTTGGTCACTGAAAGACACAAAGCCTTCCAACATAAATGGTTCATACACTGAGTCAACATATACTGAAGCTGTTTTAATCAAACCCACAGGCTGTGTTTTAACTGTAGAGTTGTGTTTTCTCTTTAACACCATACAATCAGCGATGACATGACCTGTTTTATGACAGTAAAAACACTCACGTCTTTCCCTAGGCTGTTCTACTTTGGTTTTGGATGAAACAACACTCAGTGGAGCACCTGCAGAACCATTCTTATCACCACGCACAAGACTGAACACATTTTTGTGCGTCAGCGCAAATTCATCTGCTAACACAGCGGCAATCGACAACTTCGTCACTTTCTGCTCATTTAGATATAACACAATGCGTTCAGGCAGACACTTCTTAAAATCCTCAAGAAGCATTAACTCACGCAAAGAAGCAAAATCACAAGCCTGACTCGAAACGCACCACTTATCAATCGAAACCCCTTTCTCACGTGCAAACTCGACAAACGTCTGACTGCTGCTTTTTCTATGACCTCGAAATTTCTGTCGGTAAGCTTCAGGTACGAGTTCGTAAGCGCGCAGTTTAGCTGCCTTCACGGCCTCATATTGCAAGCTTTCCGCTAAAGGCAGAGTGGAAAAAACTTCCATCGCCTTTCCCACTAACCTGCATTGCAATAATAACGACCAGACCTCTTTAGGCCAATTTAACAACACCGCGATTCTTTCAAATGCAGCAAAATAACTGTCCACCTCCGTTTCTCTGAATAGCGGCACCAACTAAATATTTTTACTCACATCAAAAGTGGAAGATATTCCACTCACCGCTGAGTCTCTGCTCACCGAGCCGGGAGTAGCCGCCTGGCCAGCGGACCCAGACGAGAGCTTCCCCTCCTCCAGCTCCAGCCGGCGCAGCTGAACCTCCTTGTCGGCCTGAATCTCAAGCCGCCGGATCTCGAGTTGGAAATCAAACTCAGCCCGTCGGACCTTAGCATTCTCCTCCGCCTCTATGCGAAGCCACGCAAGACGGACCTTTAGATTCACGTCCTCTCTGGACATCGGCGTAGGCGGGGAAAATGACACAAACCGGGGCAGACCGGTTTTAGCTTCGGCCTCCACGTCAGCCTCAACAGGCCCAGCCCCCTCACCATCACTCTCAGCGCGTTCAGAAGCAACCCCTTCCGAGCTAGTTTGATCCGCATCAGAGACTGACTCGGGCAGACTCAGGATTTTTTATGTTACTGACATTGCGAAGCTTACAAACACAGATTCCTCACAAAGTACTGCTCTGAACAATACAAACCAAACTCAAAACTGCCGCTACTCTTACCTGACAGACTCAAAAGCAAACTGGATTGCTTGAATCAGTCAACCACAGCGTCCTCAACGTAAACAAAAGGGCCTTCCAAGCGACCGGAAACGGAAAGATCCCGGACGAGCCCCCAATTATGTTATAGGGAAATAGGGGAACGCACATAACGGCCACTCAGACAAACACCCCTACTATTTACACATAAATGAGGAACGCAGGGAATGACCAAAACCAACAAGACTGGAGGTTTCACAAAAGTGGTTCGCTTTATTAACAGGTTAGAAGGATTTACAACCCAGCATAGAAAAGCTAAGTGCAAATCGTACATTAACCCATGAGCCTATTTACAACTATACATCAGAAACTATACTTAATCAAAACAACAAAAGGGAAATCAACCACAGAGAGAAAACATAAGGTGCTAATTTAATACACTTCTCCCTCTGTCCTGACTGAAAACAAAAAGAAAAGAAACACGAGTCTTCGGCGTCATGTGCCCTAATTAACCTACACTGCTATAAAACAAAAGGTACATAAAGTGGCACACGCTCCTGACCTAGTGTGTTTAACAAAGGCAAACCTACGTGTTGTAATATGTATGTCACGTGACGTACTTTCCTCTCTCTTCTCTCCGGGAGGATGTAGCAGATCAGGGAAGGCGTCCCCCTGACTAAACAACAGTTAGGAGCGAACCACACACACACACAATCCTAAGAGTAACATACAGAGAGAGACTAACAGCACAAATGAGCAGCGGCGAAGCAAGCCCCAACTCCGCCTCTCTCTCCCAAAGCACGAGCTTGAACATCTTAAATACAGAACCGTCATTCGTGATTGGCTGTCACAGATATGCAGATCCTGACAGACAGTCCAGCCAGCCAATGGCAAAGCCTAAAGAAGAAAGACAGCAGCGAGTAGAGAGACAAAGAAACAAAGCATTAGCAAAAACTACACCTGAGACACCAAGCACACACACAACCTGAGACACCAAGCGCACACACACAACCTGAGACACCAAGCGCACACACACAACCTGAGACACCAAGCGCACACACACAACCTGAGCCTGAGATAACAAGCACACAACCTGAGACACCAAGCACACAACCTGAGACACCAAGCACACAACCTGAGACACCAAGCACACGATACCTGAGACACCAAGCACACAACCTGAGATAACAAGCACAAAACCTGAGATAACAAGCACAAAACCTGAGTAAAAATTTTACTTTCACTCAACAAAAGTACTTCTTTCGCCGTTTTTAACATTTAACATCAGATCAGTCATATTTAAAATGAGAGAAAATTAAACAAACCGTTGATCATCGCCGCTTCGCGGGCTTCACGAGGAGCATGTAAACTGCGCATGCTCCTTGACCTTGCGCTCAAACCACGCCCGCTTGATGTCGTCAGACCTGAAACACCCAGTACTTAGTCTGTGCCTTTCTCAGAGAAGGGACAGAGGGGTGTGGAATAAAGGTAAATTATGTGAAAAATAATGCGTTTTTTAAAAAACGAAGCATTAACACATTTTAGACTGCACCCCATAAACACAATCAAGCCTGGAAAAAAAAAACACTGAACCACCCCTTTAAGTACATTAAAAATCAAGTACTTTTGTACTTTTACCCAATTAAAGTACAGGAGTAATATTTTATTAGGATGTCTGTACTTTTACTCAAGTACGTTTTGTACTTAATTTGTGTACTTCGTCCACCTCTGGTTGTTTACAATGAGGGAATTCACAAGCGTGCACACTCACAGCTACAGCCTCTTCAACGCTGACTAATCTAGGCTCCTCTGATTGGCTAATGCATTCCTAAGTTCAACAGAAACGCATGTGATTGGTTGTAAGACTCAGCGCTGCAAAAAACAGCACGTAAAAAGCAATCTGATGCAGTGTGAGTGAATACTTTTCATTGATTTGCACATGTCATTTTAATCGTGACAGCCGTAATACATTGTTTAATTGTGCAGGGGCAATTTGTCACAGCCATCTGCTGGAGTAAGATGGCTATCAATCAAAACATACCTGGCAATAAAGCTCATTCTGATTCTGATTCTTCTTCTGATTCTGGAGTGCCCATAACAGCCACCAGAGGGCACTCCTTCTGGGTTATAGTTTGTTTGTTCTGGACTTCATTTCCCATCACCCTTTGCTCTGTCTATTAGTTCTCATTGTTTCCAGCTGTGTGTCATTAGTCTTATTAGTTCCTCTATATATACCATATTCTGTTAGCCCTTGTTTGCGTCAGTATTGTTTTCTGTTCTGTTCTTGTTGGTTCCTTTTGTGGATTACATTTTGCATGTTTTTCTGCTTTTGCCCCGATGTGGATTTCTGTTTTTGGACTCTTAAGCTGCCATTGGATCTTCTTGTTTGAGAGCATTTCGTGACACAATGTTTGCCCCTTTGTCTTGAATTTGTGGGGCATTTTTGCTACAAGCCCTTGTTAATTTCTGACCCCGGAATGAATCTCTTATTTACATCATGTCTTCACTTCATTATAATTCGCAAATGCGAATTTAGTTGCATGATCTTATTGCAGTCAGTCAGGAAATCATGAATGTTCCTTGTGAAATAATGTGAAACCATTTTTTATTTTTCTGAAACCGTGAGAACAGATCTGACATCGTTGAACACGTACAGTTGCTTTGCTAATGATCAGGTTTTCTGTTAGAAAATGCACAAGCACGTGTGATTTCTTAGTCTTACTGCGCACACAAGAGTCAATGAAAGTGCATGTTTCTCGCATGCATGTAAACCTATTGTTGAGAACTCTCAAAACCAAATTTTGAACCTTTTAAATAGCATAAAAGGGGCACTTTAATGCTCCTCTAGAGCTCCTTTTAGACCTAGAGGAGTCTAAGTGAGATCTGAACCACATTGGTGAGCCACTATAAGTGGTAACATACAGCAATGATGATTACTGTGATAGAGTGAAAAAGAAAGGTCATTACGGTTATTTTTTTAATCAGTCAGACCAGCCCGTTTGGCTGCGACCCATCCTTTCTGCCAGCCGTAACAGTGAATGATTCCTCCTGCAACGACTGTAGCCAGAAAAAAAACAAGCACAGCCAGACCAACACCACCGAACATCAGCACACGCTCCGACAGCATCACCTCGACTGTAGAGGCTACAGACAGACAGATAAACCAATTAAACTACAGAATAAAGAAACACATAGTTCAGACACTAATTCTGATTGGCTGTGCTGGGTTTGAACTGTGATAAAATCACGCTGAAATTACATCTGTGATGCACATTCTATAATAATGTGACAAGTAGTTACGTTGCTCAGTAAGTATGAACAGTTACACTCATTTTTTTAAAAAAAGGTTTTTAATTTGCTTTGATGGATGCATGAAGAACCTTTAACATCCGTGTAATATTTACATTGGACAAAAGGTTCTTTAGATGATTAAAATTTGCATAACCTATAACAAATACACTACTGCACTTGATGAGTTCCTAAAATAAAATATGAGTAAGAATGATTTCCGCTCTCACCTGTGAGCTCAGCATCCTCTGGCGGATCTGTGACAGAATGAACTTTGTCCTCTCTGTCTGTCAGCTTGTCTGAAAATATTTTAAATATATGATCACTTACTCAAACACTAAGAGTTTCAATATTATTATAACAGCAAGCTCCTCAACAACACACATGATTTGAGGAATCATTCATATCTGGAGCACAAACACTGCATAAAAATAAGAACATCCACGGAATCTTTCCATTGCACAAAAGATACTTTATAATGGAAAATAGTTCTATAGATGATTCAAATGTTCTTCACACTATAGAAAACAATGTCTCTTTTATGAACTGATCACTAGAAGGTTCTTTGTGGAAACAAAAATGGCTCTTCTATGGCATTGCAGTAAAAGTGATGATTGAAATAAATTAAGAAACTCTCAGCATTAAAAACAGTATGAAGATTTGAGAGAAACTGAAAAGCTGTACTAACCCTCCATCACTAGTCTGATGGGTTTGTCGAAGTGCATTTCTGAATGAAATGTATGTCCTGTTCCACAGAAATAAAGACCTGAATCTGACTCCGTTAGATTAGTAATAACTAGCGAGGCTGTGTTGGTCCCTGTTCTTGCAAATATGCGATGGCTTTGATGGCTTTGATAGGCTTGATAGATGGTAGACAGCAGTAGTGTTAGTCGTCCAGAATCAGGATTCTGGTGATACCAGGCCATTCTGAATTTTCCGTTCAAGCTGCAGTTCAGAGAGATGCTTTCATTCAGCCGGAATCTTAACAGAGCCACATCATGTTCTGAAGCATCTGGAAAACATCATAAACTGATCCTTTGAAATGATTAAAACATTGATTATATTTAAGGCTAAAAAAGATCAAGCATGTGAAATCGTAAAGGAGAATAAACTTACCGCTGGAGCTGATCTGAATAATCCTGTACGAAAAAACACAAAAGAGCATGACCTTCTCCATTGTCTTTCGTCTGTAAAAGCATTGATCAAACTGCAGATTTCCTTGCAGTGCAGAGACATTAAACCACAACGTGTTTCCACTTCCTTTCTTAACGCTGTGAAAATCATCAAGCTATCTCAAACTGTTTGAACAGAAGTTTTAAAACCAATAAATATGAGTGCTGTAAACTCCTATACATTGAGTCACTTGTATTTTTAAAGTGTTGTTTAGTCAATTATAAGTGTATTCCACTCAGTCTGTTTGAATTCAGGGAACAAATCTAAGTCTAAACAGCTATATAGCTACTTAAATGGTTTGAGGAAACTGATTGCCTTAAATGGTTTAAGTTAATCAAACTCAAAATAATAAAGTTACATTAGCAAAAATTAACATTGGAACAAAGCAATGATGACAGAACAGGAGGGTTAAATGTGGGTCAAAGACAAAAAAGGGTTTATGCATAAAAACAATAAGTGTAATACTGCTTTAAATTGTTGTTGTTTTTACCCCAAAAAATTTAAAAAGTTTTCTGTTTAATTTAATTGCAATTTTGTTTTTGTTTTTCCGAGCAAAACATAAATATGATACATTTTTCCCTGATTTACAGAAGAGACCCACTAAAATATCATTCAGTGTAATGTCTGTTTGAATTCAGGGAACAAATCTAAGTCTAAACAGCTATATAGCTACTTAAATGGTTTGAGGAAACTGATTGCCTTAAATGGTTTAAGTTAATCAAACTCAAAATAATAAAGTTACATTAGCAAAAATTAACATTGGTACAAAGCAATGATGACAGAACAGGAGGGTATCCAAAAGTTGACACTTTGCTTACATTTAATGTGCTTTCTATGGACATAAAATCACTTTTGTACATTTCTTTCGATGCGGACATCTTAACGTCTTTGACCCATGTATTTATTGAAACGCAACATTTGTAAAATGTTTTCAAGCATGATTGCCTTAAATGGTTTAAGTTAATCAAACTCAAAATAATAAAGTTACATTAGCAAAAATTAACATTGGTACAAAGCAATGATGACAGAACAGGAGGGTATCCGTATGTGGGTCAAAGACAAAAAAGGGTTTAAGCATAAAAACAATAAGTGTAATACTGCTTTAAATTGTTGTTGTTTTTACCCCAAAAAATCTAAAAAGTTTTCTGTTTAATTTAATTGCAATTTTGTTTTTGTTTTTCATTTAATATTTTATTGTAATTTATCATTATTTTTATATAGCACTTTGGTCAGTGTAAACTGAGTTTAAACGTGCTCTATAAATAAAATTCCCTTGTTTACTTACCCTCATGTTGTTGGACTCTCTAAGACTTTCATTCATCCTCAGAACACAGCTGAAGATATTTTCAATGAATCTTTATTCTCCAAAACCTTAAAAGTAGACACTTTACTTACATTTAATGTGCTTTCTATGGACATAAAATCACTTTTGTACATTTCTTTCGATGCGGACATCTTAACGTCTTTGACCCATGTATTTATTGAAACGCAACATTTGTAAAATGTTTTCAAGCATAAATCAGTGGGCTGTATATACTGTATAGTCAAAAATATAAAATATAAACAATCTAATCAGACTTTTCACCAAAAGTTTTTTTTTTATTGTACTCTATTTCATTTAATATTTTATTGTAATTTATCATTATTTTTATATAGCACTTTGGTCAGTGTAAGCTGAGTTTAAACGTGCTCTATAAATAAAATTCCCTTGTTTACTTACCCTCATGTTGTTGGACTCTCTAAGACTTTCATTCATCCTCAGAACACAGCTGAAGATATTTTCAATGAATCCCGAGAGGTTTCTGTCTCACAGCCTCAGCATTTCACCAACAAAGAAAAGTTTTATCAGAAAACTAATCAGAAATAAATAACTGGAACTGTAGTGAAATCACAAAACGAACATGAAAAAGCACCCATTTGTTTGATTTGTTTGTAGTTTAATTAGACATTTAAAACCACAGCATTGATGTTGTATCAGTTTTACAATAATAAGTGATACATTGATCATAATGAATTAATTTGTTTCAGGATTGCAAATTAGTCACAGAAATAAAGTGGTATTTCACAAAAGAAAGACGGCACACACACTTATTCATTCGCATCTGTTTCTGTTTATTTGTAGTCACAGACAGTATGTTTAGGTCTACATCACATTTAGAAAGAATGATCGTTTCTATAATTCTTCCATCGAAAATACAACCGTGACACGTGATTTCTTAGTTTTACTGCTGTTTATGTGATCAGAACTCTCAACGACACATTTGACACTGAAGACATTTTATTTGAACAAGTTTGTGCCATAAAACAGATGACATTTATATTTTCTCATGAACTCGGATTATGTGTAGCTACATGTTAATGCTCCTCCAGAGCTTTGCCACAACAGACGTCTAAGTGAGATCTGGCCGACAGAAACACATCTGAATCACATCGGTGAGCCACCACTGGTGTAACGTACAAAAATGCTGATTATTGTGATAATAAACCTCACAAATGTGTCATTTAGGTGAATTTTGAACAGTCAGACCAGCATGTTCGGCTGCGATCCATCCTTTCCGCCATCCGTGATAGTAAATGTTTCTTCCTGCAATGATTATAGCCAGAAAAAACACCAGCACAGCCAGACCAACACCACCGAATATAATCACACGCTCCGTCAGCGTCACCTCGTCTGCAGACAGACAGAAAACATTCAGAAAACAACATTCAGTAAACAACAGAATAAAGTAACACAGATTCTGATTGGCTGCGCTGGGTTTGAACTCTGATAAAATTGCACTTGAAGAGTTCCTGAAATAAACTGAGACACGAACAAGAATGATTTCTGCTCTCACCTGTGATCGCAACATCAGAACGAGCTTCGTCCTCTCTGTCTGTCAGCTTGTCTGAAAATATTTGAAATATATGATCACTTTAGATATACGATCACTCCTCAACAACACTCATGATTTCAGGAATCTGGAGCACAAGCACTGCATAAAAAAGAACCTTTAAGATCCACGGAATCTTTCCATTGCACAAAAGATACTTTAGAGCGGAAAACGGTTCTAAAGATGATTCAAATGTTCTTCACACTGCTTTGTTTAAGAACTGATCACTAGAAGGTTCTTTGTGGAAACAAAAAGGGTTCTTCTGTGGCATTGCAGTGAGAAAAAAAACATCATTTTTGGAAACTTTATTTTTATGAGTGTAGTACTAGTGATGATTGAAATACATTGAGAAACAGTCAAATAATTCTCAGTATTAAAAGCAGTATGACAATTTGAGAGAAATTGAAAAGTCAGCAGAACTAACCCTCGATCTGTATTCTGATGGGGTTTTCAAAGTGCATTTCTGAAATTGGATTTGATCTTGTTCCACAGAAATAAAGACCCGAATCTGACTCTGTCAGTCCAGAAATAAGTAGTGAGACTGTTTTGCTCCACATATCTACTTTAACTCTCACGCGACTGTTTTGATCAATTGTATATAGCTCTTTTATGCGGCCCATGGCAAATATCAGTAGTGTTAGTCGTCCAGACTCAGGATTCTGGTGATACCAGGCTATTTCATGTATGTCGGTCATGCTGCAGTTCAGAGAGATGCTTTCATTCAGCCGCAATCTTAACAGACTCACATCATGTTCTGAAACATCTGGAAAACATCATAAACTGATGCTTTGAAATGATTAAAACATTGATTATATTTAAGGATGACAAGGTCAATGATGTGAAATTGTAAAGGAGAATATATTTACCGCTAGAAGTGATCTGAACAATCAAGTAGGAAAAAACACAAAAGAGCATGACCTTCTCCATTGTCTTTCGTTCGTCACAGAATCGATCAAACTGCAGGTTTCCTTGCAGTGCAGAGACACTAAACCACAACATGTTTCCACTTCCTTTCTTAAGGAAAGCTTATGCAGCTTCTACATAGCTTTTTCTTAAAGCTATGGTTTATTAAGCTTTGCTGTTTGATGTGCAATGTCATAATTACACATAATTATAGAAATTAGGGGTGGGCGATATGGCAAAAATATCATATCACCAGAACTCCAAATATAACTCTCTTCTTCACAAGGAGAAAGAATGCAAAAACTTGTTTATAGACTTTTGTCACATTTTGCAATTTGTTTGCCGGTGCGACTAAATTTTGTGAGCGTTCGCACTGATGCACGACGTTGCCCAACTCATAGGCGCTGCCATTTCTGGTGCACAAGAGGAACATTAAATAGCAAATGAAAAAAACGGTCCAATAATTGAGCGCAGCACAAGCAAACCACTGTTGCCAAGTCTCGCGAGAAAAATAAGCAACCGCAGCTGCAAAGACAACCCCAATACATTTAGATTATTTATTATCTTCAATATTATTTATTATCAACTATTTATTACCAATTAATGAGCCTGCAACCTATTTAACTGAAACTACTCTTTTATTTGAAAAGCAAAAAACAGAAGTTATTTTACAAAAATCAGCAAACTGGTTTACTTGGGAACCAGTGTTGATCTGGTGACACATTAATGCACAGAGATCCATTGAGAAATGAGTGTTCACTGCTGTCCTTTTGCATTATTGACACACTATTTTCCTGTTTTGAAAACAAACTATTTTTCTGTATTGTTAAAAGCGCTATATAAATAAAAGTGACTTGACTTGACATTATTAATTTCAGGGTTAGTACAGGCTTTTGAGAGAGAAATTCAAGCATTTTTCAATGACTTTCAAGCATTTCACACAATTATTTCCAGCACTTTAAAGCTCTAAAATGATCCCCTTAAACCTAAATATACCTTGTGGTGAACAAAAGACACCAAATTATCACTACAACCAGTAGATGGCAGCAGATGAGCACTTATTGGCTTATTAGTCATTAGTATTAGTTATTTTTTGCTTTATACTTTGAATTTATAAAATCACTATTATAAAATATCAAATCATCAAGGAGTCAAATTGTGTCAAAGTTTTGCTCTTTTTTTGTGTGTGAAGTAAGAAAAGTCACAAAGTGCCTTGAAAAACACAAGAGGCCTAGAATAGAGTAG